CCCTCGGCCCTTAAAGGGGAAAGGTTGCCTACCCCTGGTCCAGAGAATAGGACTCGGAACAACTGATGCAAGCTACAGGAAAGGAGAATCCACCTCAACATTAGGAAGAACTTCCTGACAGTCAGAGCTGTTCGACAGTGGAACACACTCCCTCATAATGTGGTTAAGTCTCTTTCTTTGGAGGTCTTTAAATCGAGGCTAGATGGCCATCTGTCAGGGATGGTTTGATTTTGAGTTCCTGCATGGCAGGGGGTTGGACTGTATGGCCCTTGTGGTCTCTTCCAACTCTATGATTCTAATGGCCCAGGTGTAGGTGTATTGCCGTAGGTGTGCGTGCATAAGAATCCCAGCCCTAACTCTAATTTTCACAGTGCGCATGCGCCAGAGCAGGAAATTGTTGCAATCAGATGTATCCGTGTGAAAGTGATTAAAGGGAAAGATTCACTTTTAAGCTGGACACCCACGCACATTCCAGCACCATTTTTGCAGCGGGCCTTTGTAGCCGCAGACCTCTATAGCTGTTCACCTTTGATGCTCGTCTTGTACAGCGGGCAAAATGGCACAGCCATCGACAAGTGGCGAGCCAAAAAGAGGGAGAGGGACATCGTAGTCCCATGCAGAGATGGCTGACCTCATTGCTGTGTGGTCACAGCCACTCATTCTGGAGAAATTGAGGAATTCCTTCTTGAATGCCAATACATTTAATGAGTTGGCAGAAGGCATAAGGGCTAAGGGCCACCAACACACGTGGGAGGAGTGTTATTGGAAGACCAAAAACCTCAGGGCAGATTACAAGAAGATTAGAGATCACAGGGCCAAAAGTGGACAGGATCCCTCCACCATGCCCTTCTACAAAGAACTCCCTCCCTTCCTCAACAGGGCCAGCAGAATATGCACCAGCACTGAAGTTGTGAGGGTCCCAGTTGGCCAGCCAGGCAGAGCAGAACCTGTGGAGGACATCTCTTGATGCCCTCTCAAGGTAAGATGTGCCAAGGGCCCTGAGGAGGGGGGCAAGAGACAGCTCCAGAAGGCAGAAATGATGCTTTCCCTTGTCATTTAGATGACCAGGAGGAATACCCTGACTCAGATGAGACATAATAATAATAATAATAATAATAATAATAATAATAATAATAATAAAATTTATTTATACTCTGTCAATAATCGGGGTGGCTAACAACAGTTAAAATTCCATACAGTATGTAAAACACAACCCTCATCCCACCCTCCCCTTAAAAAGTAATTAAACTAAGCATATCTTAAAACATCTTAATTAGACAATATAAATAAATTATAATTCAACTATCAGAATTCTAGACAATTATAAATTAAGCAAGCAGGGAAGTGGCTACATCAAAGGAGGGAAGAGGCAGAATGGGGGAGTTTCTGAGACCAGGAAGTCAGTCAGGAAAGCCTGTTGGAAGAGATCCGTCTTAACAGCTTTTTAAAAGCTGCTCAAGATCTAAATTTGACGGATCTCATCTGGCAGGCCGTTTCACAATCTGGGGACTATTACTGAGAATGCCCTCTGGGAGGTTGCGGACAGCCTAGATTTTAGTGGCTGAAGC